GGGTTTTTTTTTTTTCCTGGGCCAGCATCTCTTCATCCCTAAACTCTATTTATCAGAAAATAGACACTATAATTGTTATGCATTCACTTCTTTTTCATAGATGAGTCAGGAGAAATGCAGGAGGATTGTAAAGAGAGGGAATGCAACCTGGAACTGCTGTTATTCATTTCACAAGCTAAGGAATAGTAAATACTGCACAAATATCTGTAAAGCTCTGTAGAAGTTTTCTTGGCTTGATGTGCATTTTACTGTCAACTAAAGTTGCTGGTTTAGAACTGCTGACAAGTTGATTACAAATGACTTGGCTGTTCCCTAAATACTTCAGTCTTTGTTCAAGTAGTTTGTTTCACTCAAGTAATAATCTAGTTCATATTTTTATGCATTCATCAGTCTGTGTTTTAACTGTTGTGAATAAGTCTGATAGTTTAAGGTGAGAAGAGTATTACAAAACTTCAGTAATTTGCTGATGTGAATTGTATATGTCATGTATTAATTTTTTTAACCTTGAGTCCTACATTGTAGTTCATCAGTTTTCAAGTATGTTTGCTCATTGTAAGGTTTACAAAAGGCAGTGTTTGTCTCCTGGCATAACATACTGGGAAAGACAGCATTTTCCTTTTCTTTGCTATATTTTTAACAGTTTAACAGGCTGTATTTCAGTGATTTAATATGGGATTTTAGTTGGATTTTTTTCCTCTCCATGTTTCAGCAGAGGTGTTTTGACAGCTGATGTGTTAATAGGTTGTGAGTTTCCAAATAGATTTTATTATAATCTCATTTTTAATGGTTTATATAAGGATGTTATAGGTAGGAAGGAGAATCCTCCTTTAATACTTCGGGTTAACTTTGTTGATGATTTGGCTTTGTTTGTTTGGTTTTTTTTTTAAAGCAAACTATTGGATCAAGTAATCAACATACATGCTTTTCCACAACCTGAGTGCTTTTCTCTGAAACTTTACTTTGTTGCTTTGTTATTTCCATTTCACTGAATAGCATAGCATGATCCTTGATTCAGTAGGAGAGGAAAGATTTATTTAAATGAAGATATTTGCACACATTCATTTCCATTTCTCATTTGTTTTCATCATTCAACTGCAAGCTGAAAGTTCAACTGTTCTTTTTCGTAGGATGTACTTCTTAAATCCAGGCAGATTAGATTGGAAAACATTGTTCTGCTTCACTGTTGTTTGTCTTGCTCTCTTCCAGAATGAAGGTGCCTAGAGAAGGTTTAATATGCCAACCTGGTATTTTTCAGGCTTGTTAAATCTTAATACTCAGTTTCTATGAGATAGTGGAGAAATTAATCATGTTAAATTGGAATCTGAAATTTGTCATATTCATTTTCATTTTGAAAGCAATTAAATGCCTGAGAACTTGACCTATTCTCACTGCAAGGTGGCATAAATGTAATCTTTAAAGTTTAATAGAAATCTAGTTTGATATGGCCAAAATTATAACACTTAAACATTTGCTTATTTTCCTACTTAGTGCTACATATTTTTTCCTGCTATTTATTTAAAATCGACAACAGCAACAAAACCCCTTTAAAATGTTCCGTTTTCCTGCAAAGAAATGTAACTAGTGTAGGAATTCTCGAGCATTAGGAGATTTTTCAGTTTATAATTGGCTTAGGATACAAGAAGATGAGATGGATTTAATTTTTAATATGCCCATTTATATTGAGTATGATCTATGGAAAAGTAGGCAATGAAATAAAGTTTGAATGGATTGACTGTTTTGTAGGTGTGTGAGATATGTTAATGTTACCTTTGTTCCAATGCTATGGTGGAATATTATTTCTAAAAGACCTGGGACTATTTTGGTCTTGTTGGTGCACAGGGAATTAAGCAGAAGGCAAAAAGTAAATATTACAAAGCTGTTTCATTCACAGCTTGCTTTTTCTCCCTGCTGAATAGGGTCTCCAATAGGGGAAGATTTGAATTTGTAATTAAAGATTAAATTGCGGTATACATACACTTTAGCATCTTCTGAGTATTAAATGTTCCCTTTTGCAATTCCAGGTATTACAGATTTTATGGGAAAAATATACTTAAAAAAATAAGTGGAATAAAAATCCATTCTAAATTCCAAAATTACTGACCTAGTTTCTTTTTTTTTTTGAGACTATTAATCTTTAAGTTCTCACCAGGTACAGTTGACAAGTAGTTGAATGCTGAAATTTAGCTGGAGTCACAGAGGATGTCTTCAACAGGGATGTGGCTTCATGACTAAGTATAATTTTGTGTCTACTTCTGAGTACACACATAGTTGAACCAATGTTGTTACCGTTTTGCAGGAGAAATTTGTCTTGAGATATGGATTGATGAATTGGATGCCAGAGTTGTAGTTAATAATTGTAATTTTTTGTTTTTCCTAAGGTTAGTTGCAGTAAGAGAAAAAAGGAGTAAAGTTCCTTGAGTAGCTGATGTAGCCTCTTTTCTGTGTAGCTCATCCTCTTTTTCTGTCCCTCACACACCAACAACCAGGAGGATGTGGTTGCTGAAGACAACAGCTTTTCATAACTTCTAGGGCTATGAGTATGATCTCTACAAATAAGCATTTACTCTATAAAATGTTCCATGTAGCTTCATCTCCAGACAGAATTAGGTCACTCATCTAACTAATTCTGTGTTTAAATAGATGTGAAGATTTATACCAAGCTTTTATAGTTTGGGGAAGTAAAAAGACCTTGGTTTTCATGTTTCTTTCAATGACAGATTGTGAGATTGTTGTGTTTCATGTTAGTTATTTTTTCCTGCTAGCACTTCTTCTAGTATTTCACATTAAGTTAAATTAATCTTTTGCAGTTTTACAAGCTTAGACAAAAGTCTAAATGGAATACATTTCAAACTAAATAATGCAAATTAAATATTGTTTGATATTAAAAACTTGACACAGCTTATTTTGCAGAATGTAAAATAAAGTATTGCCTTAAAAATATCTTAACTCGTATAAATAATAGAGCGTACAGCATGAAATGAAGTTTAGAGGAGAAACTATTACATTTAACAGTGTTAATAGGGTTTTTCCACTCTAACAGATGAAAAGATGAACCAAATCATTCTTCTATACATCCTTTCATTTACTGAACTTCAAAGTAGTTGGGAGCAAGTAACTGTATAGCAGGAAATTGTTATCAGTAGTCCAAATGGTCATTTGATGTAATGCTCTGTTATGGAAGACTGGAGTGAAAACAAAAGTCGCTACAGATTATATGGAACGTACCACTGCAGGAAATTGGATGGTCATGTACTGCAGAAGCAACATCAGAGTATGTTTTCACAAATGAGCTCTAAGAAAAACACAGATTTTTTTTTTTTTAAAGCATTCGTGCTTACAAACTGGCTGGTTACTTTAATTGCTCCTTCTAAAATGTTTTCTATGTGTAAAAATGAACAGTAGCAGTAACAGGGAAATAAATTCAGAATTCTGCATATATGCTAACAAAGAGTGTAAAAATTGAGTGAATATGTCAATATTTTTAGCAGCTTTATTTCATTAAACAGGAGAATGATGGAACATTTTTGTGACTTCTGTCAATTTAATGATGAATAACTTGAATAATTTCTCATCTTATAAAATACTAGGCTAAAATTAAGTGACTCACAGAAGTGATAGCTTCTTTTCTCATGGAAATATTGGAGTTTTTTCTTTGTCTTTACAAAATAGGTTATACATAGTTGGATGACATTATATTTGTGAATCATAAAAGGATTCCATTTTTTTTTTCCCTGAAATGATTTGTTTATTCTGCTCAGAGGAAAATACTGTGTTTGCTGCTGTTTCCATCTCTGTGACAGGATGCTTCTGCAGCAAACCACAGCAGCTTGAAAGCAATGCAATTTCTAAGGAAAAAACCACATATGTGAAATAATTATAAACCTGCTAAGCAATGTTATGTTAAAACTACATTGAATGTTTGCATTACTCAGGATTGACACAAATTCCTGTAAAAAAAAGGCTTGAGTAACTGAAGAGGCAGAATTTAACTGCTACTTGAGCTAATGTTTATGGTGAGTGCATCTGGAGGGAAGAATAGTTTGCCATATATTGTGTGTTCGTAGGAAAGGACATGCATCATCTTTCCATTACTCTTGCTCATTAAAAAAATACTTGTGAAAATAGAACTGTTTTATGAAACAACGTTGATGTATTTGTAAGTATAATGTGATTTTTTCATGTATACACATAGACTATAATTACAGTGCCAGTTAAATTAGCTTTCTAAATTGTGAATAACATGGGCTGTGTTTTCTATAAAATGTTAGTTCAAGTTTCTTTTGTAAGTACAGGTTTTGTGCCACTCAACAAAACTGCAAAGGGAACACATGTAGAACCTTAAATACTTTTTTACCTCAAGTCCTTTATAGATGGGATATAAAAGCACGTTGTATAATAAGTTGTATGAAAAGGAACCACGAGTTTTCCAAGTAGAAAAAGTGCATTTTAGTGATCTGTGTAGTATGTTTTCATCCATATGGCATACTTTTAATCCTGGTTACTTACCTAAACATTTTTTCAATTCCTGTGTCATTTGTCAGTTTGCATAGTTCAGTGAGAACTAGGTCTACTCTGGGAAAATTTCTTGCTGTTTAGAGTAGATAGGTTTATAAAAAAGCTAAAACTATGAAGATGCCCCAGTTCCACATTTTACTCTGGGGATTTTTATTTAAAGGGGATATAAAACAAAATGGTTCTTTCCTTTTGCTATAGTAGTTTCTAGAGCAGAGAAACATATTTTGTTCTTAAAGATCCTTTTCCCACCCAAAAGCTATATGTATGCAGAATGTATGCAAATCACCACTACAAAATGTGAGTCTCACAGTAAGATGCAGAGATCCAGAGAACCGAGGGAAAAAACAACCAACCTCCCCTCCTCTTCCATAAAAATAGTTTCTTTGTGGGGTTTGTCTCCCTGAGGACCTTCCTGATACTCAGGTACTCTGTCATGTGTAATTGGATTGTAGCTCTTTCTGAATACTGTTTTCTCCTCTTGACAGCATGGGGTAACCTTGGAAATGTTCTCAAGAGCCAGAGCAAAATTTCTGAAGCTGAAAGCGCCTATAGAAATGCCTTGTACTACCGCAGCAACATGGCTGACATGCTTTATAATTTGTAAGTATGCGTGGCTTTCCTGGGGTTGGATCGTCTGTGAAACCTGTTGTGAATGGAGCTATTGATCTTCTTGCTGGAAATGGAGATGATGTTAGCTGTTGCTTTGTAATAGTTGTTTCATTAATCATGCTTCTTAAATTGTGGAGTGGGCAGGACCTTTTCTTGGGCAACAGTATCGTATATTCACATATTGAGTACGGAGAAGGTAAACTTACAAATCTGTTTCCTTTAAAAGAAGCAAAAAACCCACCACACTGAACAAACTACAGATAGGTGAGCTGGCAACAGTAGCGCTCCATCTGTTTCTGACTCTGCTAAAATATAGAGGTGTTATTTAGACTTCTTTTTCAAGTCTGAATAACACTTGGTGGGGGGAGTGGGTGTAAGCATAAGCCAATAACCCTTGGTTAGCTCCAGAGGTCTAAAATGTTAAAACAGCAAATTACTTTTCTACTGTGACTGACTTGAGAGCAGTGTAGGTTCAAGAAAGTTTAATTACTAGAATCCTGTTGTAGGTGGGTAAGAGAGTAAGTATCACGAGCATCAAAATAATTATACAGCAGGGAAAAAGATTTCCTAACTCATTAACATACCGACTCATGAACACAGGAGCTAGTGCTGCGCTCAGCTTCTCACTGAGGCATGGTCGTGCCGTGTGCCCCAGCGAGGAGGGGGCAGATTCTCCCGGGTGTCCTGGCTGGGCGTCTCGCCTGCTCAGCGCTACTCATCGTGCCGGCGCTCGCCCTTCCTTCCCCTCCTGCCATCACCCACCCAGCCCGAGCGCCCGAGAGGGGCTCTGCTGCGAGACAGGCTCGTCACCCTCAATACCTATACGCTGTTGTTTTGCCATGTGTGCAGAGAACAAAATCCAGGTGACTGCTGTTCATTAGGTGGTAGTATCAAAATAAAGTCCTGTGCGCGGTAGAAATGCCTAAAGAGTAAGCCTCTTTAAATAAATAAACAAGTAAAGAATGTTCTGCCTGTAAGTCCAGTTTAAAATTGTCATTTATAATACCTGGAAATTAAGTTTATCATAACAGTGTTTTTTTCTTTTTTTTGTTTAACAAGGAATAAGTTGCCCAGTTCATTCATTTGCCTTACAGGTAAACATACTGGAAACTCTAAATAATTTAATGACAGAATTTATGTTCCAAATCAAATTCATATCTCAGAATATGTGTATTTTTAATGATCATACAATTATACACATACATGTATGCACGTATTTTTTTTTGTCTCTGTTAGGCAATGGAGAGTGTGAGAAGCATATTTTTAAGAAGAAACTCCTTCTGCTCGCATTTAAAGAATAATTTCTGAACCCAGCA